CCCTTCCACAACGCTTTCGCTAGCTTTTTAACCAAACAGTATATAACATAGACACATAACCCTAATTGATCACGGCAACTGAACTCTCTTGTGTGTGGTCCGCACTGCATATTTTATTTGGTATACAGAGAAAAAGGAGATGTCGATGTCTGGTTTTACGGAAATTTTTAGAAAAGATTTCGATGCAAAGTTATCTTGTAGATAGTTTCGTTCAAAGAATGATAAGTGGTCAGACAGTTAAAGAGGAATAACTATGTTAAAAAAAAACAAAAACAAAATATAAAAAATCCTATTAGAGCTTAAAAATCTAGCGGGTAACAATGAGTCGATTGGTCATCGATGACACCCTGTTTAATACGGGTTCTTTGTAGTTTCTCGACAATTGTAAACAACCCGGGGGGCCGTAGCCATCATTAGAATATCACAGAATACTTGAAAAGGTCAAATTAAACATTTCGAGGCAAACAATGTTTTTAAAATTAAAGCTTTGCAAACAGCAAATGTAAGTAAGTAAGATGTAAATATTTTTTGTCATTTTTTTTTAATAATGTTTTTGGCAGTGTAAAATGTTAAACAGTAATATTTTGTGTAAGTAAAAATTGTATAAAAAGTAACAACAACAAACAGCAGCAAAACAGCAGCAAACAACAACAAACAACAACAAACAGCAAAAGTTGGATTTTTTTTACATCATTACATTTTTTTAAATAAAAAGTAATAAAAATGTATGAGTGAGTGTGAGTGAAAAATGTACATTTGCAAATAGAAAATGTGATAATTTAAAGAAGTATGATAAATTTATGGGGTTTTTTTCGGCATAAAACAGCTAGAATTAAGTTCTTGCATGCAAAATACCAATAATACACGCCATACAAGTCATGTTCTGTTATAAGATAAAGGATGTATACACTCTACGGTACCGTCGAAAACTTCATGACGTCTTCAAAACCAACCCGTCAGTCGAATTACATACTTTACTATAGCTAAAAACATCACTGACGTCGTCAAAACCAACCCGTCAGTCGAATTACATACTTTACTATAGCTAAAAACATCACTGACGTCGTCAAAACCAACCCGTCAGTCGAATTACATACTTTACTATAGCTAAAAACATCAATGACGTCGTCAAAACCAACCCGTCAGTCGAATTACATACTTTACTATAGCTAAAGAAACATCAATGACGTCACCAAAACCAACCCGTCAGTCGAATTACGTACTTTACTACAGCTAAAAACATCAATGACGTCAGAAGTCAGAGTTCAGAAGAAGAGCAGAGACAGAGAGATTTGAGAGAATTGAGGATGAATAAACGACATTACAAAAGTAGGAAATTCCTATTCTTGAGCACAATTTGTTTATTTTGTATTGTAAATCAAATGATTTGTTTCGGATAAAATGTTTGATGATGTGTAGGCTACATACAATGTATTGAGACTGGCTGGCACCATATGGGCGGAATCGAAAAGAGTAAAATTGATTGAAAAATTTTCATGACCTCTTGGTCTCACATTTCCCCCTGGGGAGGGGATACATTTAAAATAGTTTTATAAAGGAAAATCACATTATTGTGCATACATTGTTTATTTCCTATGGGAAATTGTTCGCACTTGGTTAGAATTATTTGTCTGGGGTGGCAGCGTGACGTAAAACAAAGCTGGCTACTACCAAACATTTTATGACATGTACAGATCTTGTCGTTTGATAACTAGTAAATACCAGCGTAGATGTTAATGTAGAAATGTATACATACTCTTAACGTTCAAAACAAACCAATTCTCTCGTGTCCTTAAACGTAAACAAACAGAATACTCTCAAGGAAATCCAATACCTGTTTGTGACAACACAAGTATTAAATGTACGTAAACAAATAGAAAAGTATTTTAAGTATATAATCAGATTTGTTGAATAACAACATCCACATCTTCTATCCATGTTCTATCTGTGTGTTATTTGTAACCTAGTTTTAAAACACCTGCTTTACTTTCATGATGTCATGAATGTTTGATAATAATGAATTACAACTTCAATAACACGCTTCAGTCCCTGTACACATAGCTTTTTTCATGTTCTCATCTCTATGTTACACATTCATTCCGATTGTGTCAGTTTGTGAGTTCACTCCGGTGAACGTTTAGGCCCCATCGGCCTCTTGTTTTTTAAATTATTACAACAACAAATCGCACAGTACTCCCGTTCAAGGTAATGATCTCCTTCTCAATGCATTAGAAATCTTATCCATTATCGAAAATTAGGGTGTTGAGGATGGAATGCACTTCATATTGTAGTGGGGTAGGCTGTGTGAAAACTGTTTATCGTTTACGTAGGATTCTCAATTTATATTGTAGTTGAATTATTGTTACATATCTTCCAGAAATGATACTATACCGGCAGTCGAAAAACTGAACTTATGACCTTTGAGTTGTCAACTCAAATACTAAATTACTTTCCATTAAATCAGAGGAAATATTTACGAATAATTTAAATAACGAATAACCGGGCCCCTGTGGTCTTACTGATGGATCTTAACGAATAACCGGGCCCCTGTGGTCTTACTGATGGATCTTAATGAATAACTGGGACCCTGTGGTCTTACTGATGGATCTTAACGAATAACCGGGACCCTGTGGTCTTACTGATGGATCTTAATGAATAACCGGGACCCTGTGGTCTTACTGATGGATCTTAACGAATAACCGGGACCCTGTGGTCTTACTGATGGATCTATACAAATAACCGGGCCCCTGTGGTCTTACTGATGGAGCTTTACGAATAACCGGGACCCTGTGATCTTCCTGAGAGATCTTAACGAATAACCGGGACCCTGTGATCTTCCTGAGAGATCTTTACGAATAACCGGGACCCTGTGATCTTCCTGAGAGATCTTAACGAATAACCGGGACCCTTTACTCGTACTGACGGGTCTTAATGAATCACCGAAGCCCGGTGGTCTAACTGACGAGTCTTAATGGATTACCGAGGCCCTGTGGTCTTACTGACGAGTCTTAATGAATTACCAAGGCCAAGATGTCTTACTGATGAGTCTTAATGAATTACAAAGGCCCTGCGATCTTCGTTACCTGTCTATACGAATTACCGGGACTCTCTGGTCTTCGTTACAGGTCTATACGAATAACCGGGACTCTCTGGTCTTCGTTACAGGTCTAGACGAATAACCGGGACTCTCTGGTCTTCGTTACAGGTCTAGACGAATAACCGGGACTCTCTGGTCTTCGTTACAGGTCTAGACGAATAACCGGGACTCTCTGGTCTTCGTTACAGGTCTAGACGAATAACCGGGACTCTCTGGTCTTCGTTACAGGTCTAGACGAATAACCGGGACTCTCTGGTCTTCGTTACAGGTCTAGACGAATAACCGGGACTCTCTGGTCTTCGTTACAGGTCTAGACGAATAACCGGGACTCTCTGGTCTTCGTTACAGGTCTAGACGAATAACCGGGACTCTCTGTCTTCGTTACAGGTCTAGACGAATTACCGGGGTCTTTCGGTTTTATTGACCAAAATGAATGACTTGAATTCTTCAGAGAGTGGGGTTAAATAAGATCTTCCTGGATGACCTATCAGTTAAAATTCTATTCGTAATCGGCTTTGTGAATACTGTTGGCATTTGTTGATAAATTAAATAAAAATTGTGAACCTTGTCTGTTTCAACCAGTGGAAATTTTAATTTATACTTTTCTATTTGTTCTAAATGAGCTGTATAAAGAATTTTAATTTTTAATATTTGTTTCCGTTGAGAAATCAGTTAATCTCTTCAAACTTTGGTAAATCATGTGCTACCTCAAGACTTCGCTATACCAAAACGGCGAGTAAAGAGTTTTGTAAATAAACACAGTCCCAGTTACACGTGTCATTAATGGAGAGAATGGAAATGTGATCTGATTTCATCGACGGCGAAATCAACGGAGTAAACTTATAATATGTTTACATTATATGTGTTGGTTAATTTGCAGATTTAATTACATACACTGTGAGATATGAGGAAATTTGATCAGACTCTGGCACTTGGTATACATAGACATCAGGGGCTGGACACTCAAGTATATTAAGAGGGTCGAGCACATATAAAGATTTAACTATTTTATATTCTCTGTGATGTCGATTTCGCAACCGAGTGGAAATCGTTTTTAGAAATGAAATGTTAGCTTGATTGCACGACGAGTCATTAATTTATGATAAACAATTCAACAGCAGGTCTATCCCCTGCAAAAATGGTTTATCAGCTTACAATTAATCTCACTAATGAAATATTTACATTTACAACGTGAAATTGCAGAATCTCTAAAACAATGCTCATTAATTAAAACACACTTTCCAACCTAAGACAATTTCTTACAAAGTACAAGAAAAAAAATTCCAGAAATGTTATGATTTTTATGGATTTTTAAAGAGTAGTATTTTTTTAAGCTGACTATGCTTCGAGCCAGGTCTGCGGCAGCAGCACAAAACTTAGGATTACATGGCTCTGGTGTTGTTGGGCAGAACATATATCGATCTGTGGCAATCATTACGACAGATACACATACTTGAAGCACTCCCACACACGTGTTTTCTGAGTAATACGTAATCGTTCTGTGTGTAAATGATGGTACCGTGTGAGAAGAGATGTGTATGTACGTGATCGTATCTAGATGCCGGATATTAACCTGACTTGGCTGTAAGCATGTGAAGTCAGCCGGCCCAATGTCGAGTTAGGAACGAGATAGCCGACCAGCCAGACTGATACATATATGTGTGTGTGTGTCCCTACACTCCACAAAACAGCAGTATAGTTTTGTATACTGCTAAACAAGTAGGAGTGTTTTTTTGGCAGCCGTTGAACTGGTATTTTGGATAAATGCATACAGGATATTTAAAATGATATACCTATAGGTTGTCACGTGCTGGATTGGTGACAAAACGCCAGGCAGAAGGTAAATATACACATATATGTATGTATACAATAGACCTAGTATGGAATGGTCGGGTGCCTTCAGACTTTTACCTTTAACGGGAGATTAATCCCCCTGTAGAGCGCTGTACATTTCACAGGTACAAATGTACAGGTATACAGAGTTCGTGACCGGTATAGGAAGCTATGTCAGGCGAGATCGCCAGTATAACCTTAACCAGGAGTGTACTGTGATGGATACTGACACACTAAAAATGACGGGATATTTCGACGGTTTCAGAGTACCGTGTGAGTCGATCTTTTAACAGGGTTTTACATGCGATTATCAATATGTAACTATCTGGGTCGTATTAATCGCCCCACCCCCTCCATATTCAATGGGGTCTTGGGGCTGTTAACGGACCGACGAAACTGTCTCGGCATGTGAAATTGTTTTAATAGTTAAATATTTTAAGCATTTTGGATTTAAAACAAATACATTCATTCAAGATGTCCGTTTCTACGACCTTAGATTCGTCTCATGCTAATTCGGACCCTAACGGGACAAACGGGGGCTCCAGTACGCTTCTTGTCCTGCAACTGAAACCCATTGCTACCTTCAAATCTAATGACGAATACCTGTATGCGATGAAGGAGGATTTGGCCGACTGGTTTGCATGCCTTTATAAGTTTACCATAACAGTGGACAACTTCTTTGAAGTTTTGGAAACAGGTGTTATGTTATGTGAACATGCAAATAAAGTTCGCAGGTATGCGACAGAGCGTACACAGAAAGGTATTCTAACAGAAATGCATTCTAACTTTATTCGTGATCTCAAAGTTCCCCAGTATGAGGTGCAATATCGTGTCGACGTACGTCCTCAAACCTTCCAAGCAAGGGACAACATATCACAATTTATAGCGTGGACCAAGAAGTTAGGAATTCCAGATGTTTTGTGCTTTGAAACCGATGATTTGGTTTTAAGGAAAAATGAGAAAAGTGTCGTGTTGTGTCTTTTGGAAATAGCTCGAGTTGGAGCGAAGTTAGGGATGTTAGCCCCAACACTTGTACAAATGGAAGAGGAAATTGATGAGGAACTCGCAACAGGAGAACCTCCAAAGCAAATAAAAACATGTGATATAAAATCTCTCCATGAAATGGTGAGTACCCCATTCACATCATTCTGTTACGTAATTTGATATAAATAGGTATGGAGCCTAAAGGTGAGTGTTATTACTTGTTACATGTATATAACAGGTACCAGGTATTTATCAGTTTTACAGATTTATTGTCTTCAGATTGTATAGTGTAATAAGTGAATTTACAAGTATATTTGATCATCATATTAAACATCAGCCGACCAGCTATAGAAACGTTGCATACGACACCCCTTCCTAAAGCGAATGACCATGACCCCGCCTCCCACACACGTAATCCCCTCTTTCCTCAAATGATGTCCTCCTCCCGCAAACGATGCCCCTCCCCCGATCGTTACCCCTTCCTCCAGCAAACGATTCCCCTCCCCCGATCGTTACCCCTTCCTCCCGCAAACGATTCCCCTCCCCCGATCGTTACCCCTTCCTCCCGCAAACGATTCCCCTCCCCCGATCGTTACCCCTTCCACCAGCAAACGATTCCCCTCCCCCGATCGTTACCCCTTCCTCCAGCAAACGATTCCCCTCCCCCGATCGTTACCCCTTCCTCCCGCAAACGATTCCCCTCCCCCGATCGTTACCCCTTCCTCCCGCAAACGATTCCCCTCCCCCGATCGTTACCCCTTCCTCCCGCAAACGATTCTCCTCCCCCGATCGTTACCCCTTCCACCAGCAAACGATGCCCCTCCCCCGATCGTTACCCCTTCCTCCAGCAAACGATGCCCCTCCCCCAATCGTTACCCCTTCCACCAGCAAACGATGCCCCTCCCCCAATCGTTACCCCTTCCACCAGCAAACGATGCCCCTCCCCCAATCGTTACCCCTTCCACCAGCAAACGATGCCCCTCCTCATGTAAACGATTCCTTCGTCTGATCGTTTCCCCAGATCCTCTCCCCCGCCAGAGCAGCACCATCTGTCTGCTGTTTTATGTTGTTATGTTTATATAAAAATTATGAAATTGATCGAATTGAAGTGCTAGTACACGTCCCCGTTTACATTTTGGCATATCTATTGATCAAACTGGGGTTTCCTAAACCGCCTCCTAGGCTTCAGAATGTAGGACCTAATTAACTGATGCGTGTTAATTCATTATGTGAGTATATGTGTCAATGGTCCGTACAATACAAGCCTATTCTATTGTGATCATTGCTATACTTATCTCGAGGTAATCTGATAAGGAATTTAGTTAAAAGTAGTCATATCACTGGTTGGTTGTGCTACTTGTACAAAACATGTGCAAAACGATAGTAGAATGTCAGTTTATATTATATATACCATTAGACAACTTCTGACCGTTCTAGAACTGGCGTACTCCGAAATGTACCTTACATATGTTTGACAGGGTTAATTTCGGAGAGATAAGGAAAGAAGTTCTTTGATGAGAAAGAATTTGTTCAAATGTGACAGTAAGGGAATTATGCTAGCTTAACAAGTATTTGAGACCGCGTGGTCTGTAGTGGGAGAAAAAAGGGGCTGTGGGACTAGTCTAGGCAGGGAGAGGATTAAATTGAGGTGGAGGGGCAGGCAGCAGCGTCTGTGTGTCGATGGGAGACTGAATCTGGCTGCAGCACAAATGCAATGTAGACAATATACATGCACAAGCACATGCGTGCTGTTTTTTCACTCCAACCACAATAAGGGAGCTGGGACCTCGTCAGCTGCAAAACGCTGAGTTCCTCGGCCGATTAAAGCCTTCAACGCTCCAGTTCCATGCCTGATTATTTCAAATTAGTGTAATAGTAACAGATATCCTCGTCCTACGTTGAAATGGCATATGTTTTACTATAGCATTGCTAGGATGTATATTTACAGTGGAATGCACCCTTCATAACGACGAACTTTTCACGTTTACAATCTTTAATCAAGGGCTAGTCTTTGTTTGTGTAGAGGTTGAAATCAGCGTTCGTCGTGGAGAAGTTATTTTTTATATCTCAATTCTACCCTGAAACTGAGTCATACATACTCTCCGATATGTTGTAGTTACAGAACTCTGAATAGACTTGCTTCCTCTGAACGAAACCTCCTGGTGGTAATTTGTATTGTGATGAATGGATGGTAAAATCTGCACAATGTATTTATGGTTTTAAATGTAGGCACGTGTAATTTTGAAATGGCTGCTGAAAATATTGACTGACCTTCGTGAATCAGTTGGACTAGAAAAAAAATCGTTATTAGTGATTAATACTGATTCTATGTCTAATTATCCAACATCTTCAACGTAGCATGATTTCTGTGACTATTGCCTGTAACCGGAAGTAGTGAAATTAAAGCTCACTTGTCGTGAGTGTTGTACAGCTTCTGATGTCTATAAATAGTATCATCAGGACTCAACTGTTAATGAAGTTTTATACTTAGATATATATGTAGATGTAAATATACATATAGATAATAACAGATAGATGAGCTAGTATTAGTATATAAAACCAGACAAGTACCATCTCTGTCAGTAATTATGTGAGATTTTAGTCGGAAGGATTTAGAAGGTATCATGACATTCTCCTTTAAGACATGTGCACGCTTCTTATTTTTCTCAACTGAACCCCGTACAAGGAAATCTGGAAACCCCACCGATTTATCGATCGTACCTGTCACAATATGTATGTCAATATATAGAGCACTTGATGTTTGAGATAAAATATTAAGAAGAAAGTGCAGATTTAAAGTACCGAGTGTAGCTCCTTTATTGGTCGTGTTAACCGCGGGTCTCCAATACACTGTATCACACATATCTACTGTGTTAAACATTTTACCGACTTGTTCAGCTAAATATTCTTTCTTTTAATTAAGGCAAAACGGTACATTATTAGCGAACGATATTTAAATTTTTCAGCAGATGTTTTCGTCTAACATCCAAAACCGACAAAATGTATTTAATCAAATTGTATTATCCCGAAATCTTTACAGCTGATATTTTCGACCAAGTTTAATCTCTTCTTTATTCACGATGAATTACAAGACCCGTGTAATCAATAAACAACATACCAATACAAGAATTCGGGGTCGATGAGAGGCTTATCGTTCGGTGTGTACAACCCTGTGGTCGCGCACGCCTTTACTTTAGATATATTTATATAAATATCTTACATGAATTACTGAATTAGTCTTAATTGCAATACTGGATTTATTGATTGTTACGATTTTCAATTCGTGCCAAATTATCTACATGTTTCGACAAACCGTCCATTGGACCTTTATAACTTAATATTCTTTACCGTAATGTCACCTAAAACTCATTCAACGTATAATATAACTTACCTGTGTGACGTCACTGAAAAACAATAATCAGTCAAAATGGAAAGATGTTAAACGCCAAATCCAATTTCAATTCGTCATCAAGGGCGTGTAATACAGATCAGTATTAAAATATACCATCAGGGACGTACATGGGAGTACACCGAATCCCTGTGTTATAGAGGGGAGCTGTTTTAAGAGTACACCGCATCCCTGTGTTAAATGTATCTACATGTATTTGTACCGAAAAAATAATGAAAGAAAATTGAATACACGTTTTCAAATCAAATACATATAAGGTACTTTTGAAGTACAATTACTCAGAAAATTCCGTTTACATATAAATGTATTGTAACTTTTTAAACTGCAGGTGCATCCTCCATTTTTTATCATTTTTTAAAATATATTCTGGCGGAGTGCACTTTTTCAGAAATACAGCACACATTACTGCATAAACGCGAAGGAAAATGTATGACTATATTTCAGGGGCTATGTGTGGGATGTCGTGGTAATTATTTTCTGATGTTGACAGGAGTAATAATAGAAAAACAAATAACTAGTTGTGTTCTTCATTAATTTTGAAATCTTATTTGGTGTTTAGGTAAATAATATTAATTACGATTACACAGAATCATGACATAAAGAAAACGAATATCCCGTTTCGAACCTCAATAGAAGTCATTAGCTGACAAGCGGTAGTTGGCTGAAGAAGGATACGTGAGAAGCACTTCAAGTCCTCCAATATATTTTGTATCAACATGACCTGATCTTACCGTTTTCAGTTCACACATTGGGTGAACGGAGTAAAGTCAACACTCTAGATCGGAGACCAAGGACATTTTGTGTTGTAACACGCGTTAAAGAGCCATTTATGTTTGCTTGAAATCTACATCTCCATCGACAATACATAACTAAATATTACAGGCGTTTCACACTCTTCCACTCCTTGGTATCACAAATCAACTTTGGGCTGTAACTCTCTTTATTATTGAACAATAGCCCCCCCCTCGTCACTATTGAAAAACAAAAATTGTCAAGAAACGATATAGCATATGGACGCTCAGAACGGACGGACTGGGTGCAGAAAATCTGGAAGTCCACCTGTTTAGTCTCTCTAAAGGCTCAATGGGTAACGTATCAGCGCTTGGATCTGCGGATGATCGTTGAGTCACCTCGTAGATAAGATGAACACGCCATCTGGGTGTTTCATATCTTGGTAATGCATGAATACACAAAAAGAAATTCTGCATAGCTGTGCTGAAAATCCTTGAATGTAATTGTTTAGACACATTTAAACTCGCATGTATATTTTCTTATATATCGTCCATTTTGTCTCATCGTAAATCCTGACAGTTTAAAAGGAAATTTTATCAGTATCGAAATGGAGACTACACTTATAGTCCAATATTTCAATTTAGTTTGAATTTGAAAAAAATAAGCAAAGAGTACACAAAACCAGCGGCGTTTGGTCAGTTCTCTGCAAACGGAATTACCTAAACGTTTGATCAATTAATTGTTCATCTCTGTGATATCATCTTTCACATTCAGATCATGTTCCTTACTGAGAAACTGTTTACATAGTTTGGGCTCTAGGTTCAGACAGCCTTTGAACCGGCACAAGAATAACTACAAGATCCATGACTCGTACCAGGTCCATGACTCGTACAAGGCCCATGACTCGTACAAGGTCCATGACTCGTACAGGTCCATGACTCGTACAAGGTCCATGACTCTTACAGGTCCATGACTCGTACAAGGTCCATGGCTCGTACAA